CATTTTATATTTTTGAAAAATCGAAAATCTTATATGAATATATATATATATATATATATATGCATTGAAACTAAATATTGCATATTTAAGCGTCATTAAAACTGTTATGTCAGTATAAAATTTATCCACATATTTACAAATTACAAGATTCTATTTTTATCAAGTTATACAGTGAAATAGAATTTTTAACTTCTATTCTTAGCATGTATATATATATTTTTATACATATTTTTATATTAAAATACACAATAAAAAAATATTGTAATAATACTTGTGTTTTATGTTATTTTTTTTTTTTTACAATTTACAATTTTTATTATAATTCAACAACGATTACTAAAACACAAAAAATTATTGAAATTATAAAAATTATAAAAATAATTATTGAAATTATAAAAAATGTAAATTTAAGAAATATAACTAACAATATAATAAATGCTTTTTATTGTAATATTATATAATAAATACTTTGTAATCTTTCAATGTGAATGAATATTTTCTTCCCACTATCACGTTAAATAATAAAATATATTTCTAATCTACAATGTTATGTATTATATATAAGGTATGTATTATATATAGGTTCATAATTTATGTATTATTAATATAAATTATATTAATATAATAATATTAATTTATAAATTAATATAATAATATTAATATAAAAATAAAAAGAAATATTATAATTTCTTTTTCAATTATTTTTACAAAATGTTTTGAACAAGTACAAATTTCGAAGAAATTAATACTTTAAAATTCTTATGGTAATTATTATGTATATGTATTTAAATTACTTAGAATTTTTTTTCAGCTTTTAAAAATTACATTGTCCTTTCAATCTAAAAAATTTCAAAAGATTCTATTCTATTCGAACAATATATTAATATTTTATTAATATATAATAGATAAATGAATTTATATGAAACAATAAACTGAAAATATAATGGAAGAAACAAATGTACACATATTATTATATTTAAATACGAGTCTTTTGAAAATAATATACATGTATATTCAAATATTCGTCTACTGTCTCTATAAATAAAATATATTTTTAAATTAAAAAAATCATTTTATAGCAATATCTGTTCCAGAAGTACAAGTACCTAGTATGATGCATGTAATTCAAACACCTGCAAATGTAACAGTATTGACTCCATATGCAAATCTTCCATATCCTACAAATTCAGCAGGTGATTATCATTTTATATATGTTTAATAAAATTCTAATTAACTGATTTTAATAATGATTGACAATTATTATTAAATATATTAAAGCGATTTTATTATTTTATTCAAAATTTGATATTAATTTAATTTTTTAA